GTCCCTATGGTTATTCCTGAAGCACTTCAAGCACGCGTTCTTGAAATAGCACACGAAAGCCACCAGGGAATCTCGCGCACCAAAGCGTTGCTTCGTTCGAAAGTGTGGTTTGAGTCCTTCGACAAGAAAGTGGAAGCACAAGTGAGAGAGTGTGATGCCAAACCGTCCGCGATAATGGCACGCCCGTCACTATGAACATGACAGACAATGAAAGCGGACAAAATATACAGTTCCTCAGGTAGACAAAGGAACATCCCTTCACTGCTATTATGTAAAAATGTGTAGAACAGGTGAATATGCATGTGACACCTGTTCTACACATTTTTACATAATAGCAGTGAAGGGATGTCCATTTGTCTACCTGAGGAACTGTATATTTTGTCCGCTTTCATTGTCTGTCATGTTCATAGTGCGTGGAGCCATTCTGGTGTCCCCAATGCCGCCTAAATCTAGCTGGTCCTTGGCAAAATTTGAGCATTTTGTGTGGCCCATTGCCCACAGGAGAAAATCGAATGGTGCTGATCGATGAGTATTCTAGATACCCCGTTGTTGAGATTGTGAGCTCAACTTCTGCGAAATGTGTGATTCCAATGTTGGAAAAGGTCTTATCTGTGTTCGGTTCCCCCAAAGTCATCAAGAGTGACAACGGAAGTCCATTTAACGCAAGCGCATTTGCAGATTACGCTTCACATTGTGGATTCGAACACCGCCGCATCACTCCGCATTGGCTTCGAGCAAACGCACAAGCGGAAGCTTTCAACAAGCCACTTGTCACAGCTCTACGTGCTGCACATCTAGAAGGTAAAAACTGGAAGCAGGGACTGTACAAGTACCTTCGTCAATGGGGACTTTTAGATTGAGTGACGAGAACACGACGAACGCCGTCTGATCATGCGTGTCAACGTACTCAACTGCCCATGTTGACTACAATAAGCGAGTTCGTAAATAGCTCTTGTACGCATGACCCCAAAATATCCAAAGATCTTTGACACGATGGATACTTCCCACGTGTGCATTTTAGAATAATCACTGCCGAAGTGGTGGAGGTGCTTCATGAATACCTTTTGTTTGCCTCTTGAGAAGAATACTTCCACCTGTGTATCAGATAAATGAACACTGATTTCATAACTTTCATGAGCACGATCTGAGTATTGGTCTCAGTGGTTTTACAATTTGGGTACGAATGATCTTGATTTGATTTGATTTGATTTGATTTATTTATTTCTGTTTGATTTTCTTTTTCTTTTGCATTTTTACAAATATATAACAAACAAATATTGCAAATTTACACATGACAAAAGAATATATGTAGAATAAAGTAAGGCTGGCTGTAACTAATCGAAAACATCAAACAGGAGGGTTGACAAAATAAACAAAGCTTGATAGTATGATTACCCTCAAAGGATACATAATAATACAAATATGGAGGAACAAAATATTGGTAAAAGGGGAAAAGACAGAAAAAAGAAGAAAAAAGAAAGAGGGGATGCACATCAATATTCACAGACTTTTGTGGTAGTTGGATTTCAATTTGATACAAAAAGATTTTAAAAAGAAAAAAGAAAATGCAAATTTGAATATTGAGTGGCCAACTTGGGATATAATAGAATAAGAAGACTCGCGAGGTTCGGACAGTAAGAATGTGAATGTATGATCAGTCAGCTGGTTTTAAATCTGGGCCTGCGAGTAGGAGCCTTGAAATGTTTGTATAGAAGACAGTGTTTATTCAGTTTCCCAAGTAGGCCACTCTTTATTCATACGTTTATTCATACCAGGTCATGGAAGGTTATAATCAACGTTTCAATGAGTGGAAACAAAAAAGTAAACAGTACAGAAAATTATCGAGTTTTGTAACGACGGGTATCTTGATCTGCCCATGCGCAAATCCTAATTACGAACTCGCTTATTAGAAATCTTTTAGATTTCACTCGACGATATACATGCATGCAGGAAGTAACACTATAATTTAAATAGAAATGAACTGCCAAATGTTTTTTATTCAATGTTTTCAAGGAATGTCAATATTCATCATTATCCTATTCGGTCTGACGAGCTTTTTCATTTACCAAAAACAAGAACTTTGCTCTCAAATAAATCATTTGTATTTTCAGGTCCAAAACTTTGGAACTCTCTTTCAGATCCAGTTAGAAATCAACCCACTCATTATAGTTTTAGTAGAGTGTTCAAAAAGAATTTAAGACAAAAATATATGTCTACTACAGGTTAAACTTCTCACATCTCCCCTGTTTCTCTCTCTCTCTCTCTCTCTCCCTCTCTCCCTCTTCTTCTAACTTCTGTTGTGTGCAGCTTTGTTTTTGTCTTGTTTTGTCCTGTAATGTCCTTTTGTGTGTCTTGTCCCACCCTGTCTTGTTTATCTTGTCGTGTTATGACTTGTTTTTTCATGTCTTGTCTTATCCTTTTATGTAATTTTCCTGTCCTTTGTGTCCCGTTTTGTCATTCTTTTCTTCTTGTATTTTTTGTGTGGATTATTTAGATACTTTAAAATGGTTTACGAAAATATGTTATTATATTATATCTATTTTACTGTGATTATTAAGACACTTTAAAATGATTTATGATAATAATGTTAATATTATATTTATTCTTGGGAACCTAAAAAAACAAGCTATGCTTTCCAGTAGGTTCCTTTTTCATTTCATAATTTTGATCTTACTTTGTCAACTATATTCTTTATTGTGCAAACAATTGTTATGTGAAATTAAATAAATAAAATTAATCAATCAATCAAACATGACGGACAAAATATACAGTTCCTCATTCTACCCTCAACAATTGCTTTGGTAGACAAAAGAACATCCCTTCCCTGCCATTATGTAAAAATGTGTAGAACGGGTGAATATGCATGTGACACCTGATCTACACATTTTTACATAATAGCAGGGAAGGGATGTTCCTTTGTCTACCTGAGGAACTGTAATTTTTTTGCGCACGCGGCATACTAGTACCGTACTAGATTTAGGAAAATCAAGGTTGACGCATTCTCGATCGCCGACTGAGACGACGTGACGCATGCGCAGTGCCTTAAAATAACGTCAAACGTTGCAGGCAAAGCTGTCGACGTGCAAATCTAAAAGTCCCTAATATCGCACTACGCCACACACTTCGACAGCCGTAAGCCCATTGTAGCTGATGTTCAATTGCGAACCAATCACGCGTTTGCCAGAAGTCGACGTTGATCGCGATATTAGGGACTTTTAGATTTGCACGTCGACATATTTGACTGCAACGCGTGACGTCATGTTAAGGCACTGCGCATGCGTCACGTCGCCTCAGTCGGCGATCGAGAATGTGTCAACCTTGATTTTCCTAAATCTAGTACGGTACTAGTATGCCGCGTGCGCGCGTGTGCACGCTTACTTCCTGCATGCATGTATATCGTCGAGTGAAATCTAAAAGATTTCTAATTGTAGTCAACATGGGCAGTTGAGTACGTTGACACGCATGATCAGTCAGCGTTCGTCGTGTTCTCGTCCACTCAATCTAAAAGTCCCTAATGATTCTTCGACACAAGTTGACGAAAATGCCAACACACAAGCACATAGCAAAGCAAGAGAGAATGATCGTCGTGAAAAGTCAAACCAAAAGAAATATGGTGACAAGCGCAATCACAATGCGGCAAGCGATTTCAGCATTGACCAGGTTAATTATTGTGCGTAACGATACACGACGTAACAAATTGTCATCTCCATTCAATCCAACACCTATGATCATAGTGGATAGGATATAGGAATGGAAATATGTTTACTGCTCAGTCTCGCGAAGGAAGGGTTACACAAAATGTGTCATGTTTCAAAAGGTTTCCTTCGTCACAATCGCGTCTAGCTGAAAACATGAACGATCACGACCACCTGGTTTGTACGGAACCGCAAACCGCATTTCCTCATCTTGGTCGTTCTCGCAAACCTCCATCTTATTTGAAGGATTATCAAACCTAAAGGAAAGAAAAAAATGACACGGACAGTCTGATGTTTTAATCATTTGTTTATTAAGTAGTAATATGTTTTACTGATGTTTGTTTTACATTTTCCATGCGTTAAAAGTTTAAAACCATGAAATCTCACTTGTATACTTAATGGTACAAATCATGCTTAATTTCTTAATGAAGGAAGGGATAGGATATCTGTATATATCAATATGTATGACTAAAATGTAGTATGTTCGATAATAGACGCCCACCTGTTTATTTCAATTGGAGTCAAAATATCATTCAAGTGTATCCGTTTACTATATTTATCTCAAATACCAAAGTCGTAGCAAGCTCACTAATTGATTTTTTTACCACATAAATACCAACATGAAAATTTTGTGGTATAACAATGAATTGACAAACAAGTATATTCAATTTATTCAATTTGAAAGGTGTTTAAATGTGAGATACATACACTTTTTTTTAAATATATGTTTCAACAATTTGTCATTTATAAAAGACAAAATTGCATATAGCCAGAACTAGGCACACTCATGTGCATGTTTATTCAGAATGCATGGATTCTTGAGTTTGTTTTATACACAAATGAAGAATGCAGATAAGTGTGTTTATGGTATTTGATGTTCAAGTGTATTAATCAAATATGATGGTTAACAAATTACAGTTCATCTGGTTCATCTAAATGTAACCAAATTCAGTTATACAGTTGAAAAGTATCAGAGTACAGTTTTTATAACTTACAGAAACTATCTGTCTAAAAGAAAGGGAGGGATGTAGTATCCCTACTTTCATGCTGCCATCAGTGGCAGAGGAAGCATCTGAATATTACTCCATATATACGGAGAGCTACACACCATGTACCACGAATAAAACCGTCATATACATTAATTCCAATCAACTTGCAGATCTCTTATATGCTGAACACACGTCTCGCCTACACACGCCCCCCCCCCCCCCCAACATTTTCAAGATCAGTCGAACTTTTTAGACCCCTCCCCAGGACGGTGATCGATTACATGTATATGTCCCCCCCCCCAAAAAAAAAAAAAAAAAAAAAATTAAACATAGGCATAAGCATACTTGGGGCCATCCTTTATGATTCTAACGGGGTGTTTACTACGGCGCATGCGCTCCCTTCTGTTGGCCTCCTGGTCTGTTTGGGTATCTTCAGCACCACGGCCGCTCACTCCTCCCTGCCATCCTTCATGGACATTGCTGAAAATAACCACAAAGCAGAGAAAAATGTTGGTACAAACTACTAATAGAGATAAAAATTGTATATGTCTAATGGTAGACATTCTTATTTAAGGGGCAAAGGGGGTTAAGACAAAGCATAATTTGTATCAAAACATTCGTTTGTGCATTATTTTGTTCGATCCCAATTGGAGGATGAGGCTGAAGGGGTAAGCAGCTAGGGGAGACCACACACAACCCTGTTTACGCCAAGGTGGTTTAATAGAAAAACAGCATTTCAAATAAATAACTTGTAGTGGGAACTATTGGTGTCCCTGCATTTTGAATCGAACATTATATATTGGCAAAGTTTGTCTATTTGTTACTCTTTTTTTAAATTTAAAACAAGCCATATGCGAGATTGATGGGCTAAGTTCTGATCCCTACCTTGGCAGCTTGGCAGCCCCTTTACCTCCTGGTCCTCGCTTGGAAGCGTCGTGGTTGCCCCGGGCGTGGAAGGACTTATCGGCACCAGTGGAGTTTGCCTCACGCATATCACTGTTGAGTTTGAAAAGAAGCAATGTTCAGTTGTCCGTTTTCATAAAAAATATGACAAATTCAATCTCTTGTTTTAACCTTGCCGATATATTGGGTAACTATACGGAGCAAGGCTCAAAATACACGGGGGCGGGGGAGGATTCGTCCCCGTGAGCTACGCAATCGCCTCCGTCAGAGTGCTCACGGGGGCGATTGCAAACTTAAAAATCGCCACAATATTGAGTTTCAACTTTCAAACCTTATATTAACCCAATGAAATGGAACTATGAAAGTGATATTTTAATAGCGTGCAGGATTTCTCGCTCGAATTTTTCGGTGTCTAGAGGCTGCCATATTGTAAAGAAATAAACGTTTTTTCTCCCATCTCCCATCTCCACATCTATATGGGTATTACGGATACAAACAATGGAAGCTCGCAGTGCACTGCGGTCGTCAGCAGTGGCTATACTAGCTGCGCCGATAGTATACTGGTGTGCACGCTGCCGCCCCATATATCTGCTGGAGCTAGAGGCGATCGCGCAAGGACCGAAACGTGGAGAAGTTTTTCGTTTTGAAAATCATGAATCTTCTTCTTCTTCCTCGGTAAATGCTACTTCATACAACGAAGATTACGCACTGCAGTGTGGTGTGTGCCATGTCCAAAATGTGTGTAGGCCTCAATCCAGGTGCAATATATATATATATATATATATATATACAGTGATGTGCTGTTAAAAACGTGGACAGCGATGTGCTGCCATCAGTTGGACGCTTCCTTCAATGCCCTTTTAAAGGCATCCAGAGAAAGGAAGTCTGCAGGGTCCTTCTTGAGGTTGTTCCACTCTCTACTAGTACGAGGGAATCCTCTGGAATCTGCTGATTCCAAAAGACCAGCAAATAATGAACCTCAACCAGTAAATCAACCGAAAGCTAAAATTAGCAAAAGGAATCCTGTTGACAAGGCCGAATGTATACGGGCTTGGATCAGAAATTTCGTACAGAGGGAGGAGATCTGACCATTAGCTGCATGTTATAACTTGTAAAGTTGTAGGAAATAATGCCGACTGTTAATGACAATGATGAAATAATAAAGAATTTAGAAGTATCATGAGTACCAATTCAATGGAAATTTGTATTAAAAAAAGAGCCCCCGTCAGTACTAAAAGAGCCATTTTTATTTTTGGAAGAGCCCTCGTGGACAAAAAACTTATTTTGAGCCCTGCTACGGAGGCATTAAAGAGATATTGACAAAAATAAAAGACTGTCATATTATGCAGCCCCCCTAAGGTTTTTCAAGTAGTGAAAATTAGTGCCCTTATTCCCCCCGCTTATTCACCGGCTGGCTTTAATCGGCACGAAACTTTTCCTCAAAAGTTGGACCACAAAAAAGGACCCCAAGCCCCAAGCCCCACGCCCCCCCCCCCCCTCCTCCTCCGTGTACCTAAGTACAGAGGAAAAGAAACAATTTCTGAGCACTTCTGATCCATATCAATCGTCTAATTTTACTGGAGTATTTCCTGTAACATCAACGCCGGACTCCTAGAAAATTTTAATCCCACGCTGGCTTTTGTATACATGCATTAGGTATGGGCGCTTCCCCGGATCCCTTCATTGTTGACCCCGAAGTAACTGTGTGGTATGAATAACAAAATTGCGGGCCAGGCTTTTCTGGCCCTGCGCGCGTGTTCAATTTGCGTATGCTACATTGGCGGAAGCACCGACGACTGAGAAACTTCAAGATTCCGTAAGCAAAATGTTTGTATTCAAATAGCCACTTTGTCAATGTGATCTGATTAAATGGCCTACAGACTGCAGTACTTTTCCCTCATATGAACATGCCAATTTTTCATCCGGACAAAATTTGCTTTTTGCGCCCCCCCCCCCCCCCCCCCCCGGGTCCAAGGTTCCTACGTGCCTGATCTGTTAATATATGTACACAAATTGAGAATGATCCTATCTGTTTAGATTGAAATAAATTAAGTTTGAATTAAATTTGAATTAAATTGTTATTATAATTCTGAATAAGTCTGAAAATGATGTATGAACTTGAAGAGCTAAATTTCTTCCTATTCGGTTTATGTACGCACCTGTAGGCTCGTTGCATGTCGCGTGATCCACCGACGAAATCCCTTACATCCTTGACAGTTCCAGTGACGAAGTCCCTTACTTCCTCGGCGGCTCCAGTGACGAAGTCGCCTGCTCTCTGAATGGCGTCATTGGCGAATGCTTCAGAAGGCACAACCAGCACCCCAACCATCAAAAGAGCAATGATACTACCGGAAATTCTCATATTTGCGGGCTTGAAACAGTTGACACTTGCAGACAAAGTTTTTAAAAAGGCAGCCTATAGTTGTCCTGCTGGAAATAGAATGAACAGATTTGACACGAACTCTTTTTATAACTACAGCTGTGTGGGAGCAAAGGGTGATGGGTAATCACACAATAATATGAAAAGTCATCAACAATAATTGTAATCATTTAATACAATGTTAAATTTGCATTGCAGATAAAGAATGTAACCACCTACGATCAAAATCAGTGACGTAAACAGACATTTTCTTTTCTTTTCTTTTCCTTATATTTGTTCTTCTCTATCTCTCTCTCTCTCTCTCTCTTTCTCTTTTTTGTTTTGTTTTGACCCCCCCCCCAAAAAAAAAAAATAATAATAATAATAATAATAATAAAAATAAAAAAATACGCCACTAATCACTAAAGCAGTTGATATGTTTAGCGTAGATTAATTATTCTTAATCCATAGTATTTAAGGTGTTGTTGCATACGTTTGGTAATTGGAGCCTAGTGATTGTGTTAATCCTATATAAATCTAGGTAAATACAATAAAAGTAACTTGTGAAAATTTAACTTCAAAAGGTGGTCTCGTTTTTGAGATATCACCGAAGAACCGGAGCGAATATTTCCCTGCAGGAAATTATTCCAAATAGGAATACACAGCCTGATGAGAAGCGTTTCTGACATGAACGCTTCTGTAATTTTTATCGATTGTACTTTTTACCGAGTTTCCTGCCGACAACAAGAGATAATGCATAACTGGCACAAAATAATATGTTAATCTTGTAAGTTGTACTAAACGTCGAAGTTTGCATTTGCAGTGGATGATCTGGCTTACTTTTAAAAATAAATTTGATTTTCAGATGAAAGTGTTTAGGCCTATACCGGTAGTACAAATCAATGTAGGGTTACAAACAAGCATGAAATAAGACACTCACCTGGATCTGGAATCTTGAACTTCAGCTTTTTAAAGGCCACTGAGAATTGACTTGTAATTGTAAGATGAATTGGGTTTATATAAGCAGTTATATTCCACAGGCACATACTAAGAATCTTGCTCTATGATTGGTCAACAGTAAATCACGTGATAATAAATAGTTTCGCCTACCAATCACCCTGCGGTATTTTGTGTTTCGCTGATCTCTCAAGTTAATGGCTTTGATCCAAAGAGTAACAACGCGTGTTATTACTACTTGGAGTATTTGCAAAATAAAAGTGTGTTGCATTGTGTACTGTCTTTGATAAATATTTGATAAAAGTGCGTTGCACTGTGTATTATACAACGCCTACTAAGATTCTGGACACCTCATTGGTCAATTATTAATCGCATGACATGCGATAAAAGTAATGTTGAACGGCATCATTCTCCAGGCGTGCAAAGGTTTGATCAACTTGCACCATTGCACACTGACGTCACGAATGATGCACAAAGTGCTTTCACCTTCACCTAGTTCACCTTCACTTTCAAAAAGAAATTTAAAAACCAACTCTTTCAATCTTGAATCCATAATGTACATTTTGAGTAGCTAAATTTCTTTTCGTTCATAATATCTTAATAACTGTTCCTTGTTTGATTGTTATGATTTGTATGTTTTTTTCTGTTTTCTGTTTTCTGCTTGCCCCAAAGTCGCTTGACCACGGTGAAACGAGTGAGAGCTTGCGAGAGCGGCCAAAGTGTGATTGAAACTCGCTATTTGCTCTTCTCCAAATCAAAAAGAGACGACATTGTGCTGGATAAATGTATTTTTTCCGACAAAAGTACAGACAATTTTCATATGGTATTTTTATATTATACTTTATGAAATGTTACCCGAGTGACTTCCGGGCGCCCAAATGTTTGAAAGAAACGCACATTTTAGAAAACTTCACTTTTTCATGGAAAAATGCTTATTTGTTCTATGCACGCAAGTCAGATTGAGCGGATGATACAACGTTTCCATATGTGAACCCTGTGTTATATCTAAAAATTGTTGTCTCTTTAAAGATAAGATAAAGTTGGTATTCGGAAAATTGTTGTAACTTTTGTTGTATCTTTTCTCTCATCTCTTTGGCTGCGCCTGCACTCAAACTTCTTTGCGCTTTTAATTGTGCGTATTATTAAACAAAAATGGCGATTAATCCTAATTTGCATCTGCATGCGCACGAGAGATAACAGGACAAGATAATTGGTATTCTGAAAATTGTTGTATAGATACAATTTGTATTAATGTTGCTTTTCTCAATTCAAGAAGCCTGAAAACATGGGTAGTACAACTTTTCAAGGGTTTTCTATGACAAGGAATTCATTTATGACACCAATTTTTATTTTTAAGTAATACAATTGTCTTAAATAGCATAATTAGCATAATATGTACAATATTATGGACTTCATTGTCATTGTTTATCTATAAAGCCTAAAAATGGTGCAATGCAACATTGTAAATCACTTTTGAAAGATTAATCATTAATTCATAAGAAGATATTCTTGACCTTTGTTTTATACAATGTATTCTATTTTTTTTTTTTTCGTAAATCTTTGTATATACAATGCTCTTTTGTAAAGCAGGCCTTTGGCACTGAAAAAACCACCCTGTTTATCAATAAATAAATACACCATAGCAAGTTCAATCAGTTCTTCAGATTAAAAAAAGCATATTCGGCCCCTGGTCCGGGCTGCTTAATGTATTAGTCCTGTAGAAGTTTTTTAGATCTGGAAAAGTTGTTAAGTACAAGGTTTTTTTGTTGATTTGTGTTCTAGATGGGTATTGAAGTAAATTCAGCTTGGTTGCCAGCTTGGCAACCTTGGGCAACTTTTTGAATAGCCATCAGCAAAATCATCTTAATAGCATATGTGCAATATGTAATAATGTTGCTAATCTCAATCCAGGAAGCCGGAAAACATGGATAATACGACTTTTCAAGAGTTTTTTATGACAAGAAATTCATTTATAACACCAATTTTGTTTATAAAAGTAATACAATTGTCTTAAATAGCATAATTAGCATAATATGTACAATATATGGACTTCATTGTCATTGTTGTTTATATATAAAGCCTAAAAATGGTGCAATGCAACATTGTAAATCACTTTTGAAAGATTAATCATTAATTCATGAGAAGATATTCCATGTATATGTAGTATAATTAGCCTAATTAGCGTAATAATCTAATTAGCATATATGTGCAATATGTAATAATGTTGCTAATCTCAGTCCAGGCAGCCTGAAAACATGGATAATACGACTTTTCAAGGGTTTTCTAAACACCCGGATAATCGCTATCATTTGAGACACAAACAACAGAAAAAGTGGAAGAACCCGATAAGTCTGTAGAGTCGATCATCTTCAAAAACGTGACTGATCTTGTGATACAGTGTTCAAGTTCAAAGGTTCCTTAAACCACAACACAATTTGCATACAATCGCCTTGTGGGTGATAAAGGCCTAACCTTACTTTCTTGTAGTCCTGTAGAATTTTTTCAGACCTGGAAAAGTTGTTAAGAACAAGATTTTTTGTTGATTTGTGTTCTAGATGGGTCTACTGGACTATATGGGTTTGCAAACTAAAGTAAAGTAAACCTCTCACCAATATATGTCTAAAACACCAATCATCCAAAACTTTTTTGCAGGTTGTTACGTAATGTACCTCGTATTCATCATTGTCTAGCTACATTGTATACTCGTAAACTACATGTATATGAAAGTAATGATCCACCCGATAATTGGTCTGTCTCTCGTGTATCCCTTATACACAAAGACGGGGATCGATCCTTCCCTACCCGAAAATTTCATAATGATCTCATTCACTTAATGCGTTTGCAAAGTATTTCACAAAATATTGGTGAACCGATTGAATGAATACCTCGTAGAATAAGTTTGTTGATAAATCTGTTCAGAAGGCTTTTATTTGCGGTATAAATGGGTGCATAGAACCCAATCAAGTAGTGCAAGAGATTATTGCAGATATTCGGTATAGAAAGCGTACTAGCTGGCAACATAACCTATTTTGAGTATAGCCGATGCCTTTGGTAGTCATGCAGCCACGATATCATTTCTCACTCGCCTAAACGATTTGATGTTCCACAAAATGTTTCATTGTATATTGAAAATGTATACAGCAAACTTCAAGGTAGTATTGCTGGTAGTGATTGGTCATCAAATCCTGTCACGTTTAAAAGAGGTGTATTCCAGGGGGATCCCCTCTCGCCGGTATTTTCCTCGCCTGATTCAACCCCCTCCTTGAATATTTGGCCGAACTCAAGGATAAGTATGGGTATAATCTAAATGGTACTTTGATGATAACAACACCTTACGCTGATGAGTTTAATCTCATTACATGTAATAAGATACAACATCAGAAGATAATCACTAAACTGCACCAATATAGTTCATCCATGGGCCTTATACTAGTACCGTCTAAATGCTGTAGTCTGTCAGTCAGCAGTGGTTCACCAAGAGAAATACCATGTTACCTAATTGGCAATGAAACTAGTTTTAGAACAATCAGAGGAAACCCTCATCGTTTTCTCGGGGCCCAAATTTGCTTCAGTGGTAAAACATCTAAAGTTTTCCAATACGTCCACAGTGAAATTCAAACGAACTCGACCTTCTATCTAGACGGTTCGTCAAAAAGTGGCTGGGAATCCCATCCCGTGGGGCAAACGTTTGAAGTAGGTCCATGATACATAATCACCCACATGCTCAGAAAATAATAACCCCCTTATTTTGTTGTAATGTTTTGTTGCCAACCTATGAATGATTAATGCATGCACGATTAATAATTGTAATTAAACATAGCTCTAGTATTTTAAGCATCGTGATTGGTCAAAACACGTCACATGACATGCACCTTTTTGTGTGCATGCACGATCGGTACAAAAAGCGCAGTCAAAAGTAACATTGCACGCTAAAAGATCGATATCCAGCGCAGCGTACGCGTAGCTAGAGCAAGTAGCAAGGTCTTATCTTTTCATTTTCTAGAACCAACATAACTCTCCTAGACTCTAACACAGGCGCGTACGCAGGATTTTTTCACGGGGGGGGTTTTAACATTTTTAAATCGGGCCGAAGTTTCGCAGCGACTCAGCCAGGCGCTGAGGGGGGGGGGGGGGGGGGGGGGTAAGAGGACACTTTTTTCTTCTTTTTTTTTGGTCTCTAAAATTGAAAATTTGACATTTTGCTCCGTTGGGGGGGGGGGGGGTCAACTTTTTTAGGTCAGCCATTGGTATATATTTTTTTCTGTTTAATAAAAAAAAATTAAAAAAATACCAAATCAAAGGGGGGGGGGGGTTCCTCCAAAATGCACACATAAAAAATACCAAAGGGGGGAATGTATCCAACGAATCAATCTTCATATGGAAGGGTATTCATTGGAAGTAAATTGCCGTCCTGGTGATTTAAGAGGAGGAGGAGTTGGAGCATATATTAATGCATTTTTAAAGTACACGCGTCTTGAATATCGCGTCATTCATGCAGAATCCCTTTGGTTGCATATTGATATTACAGATAATGTAAAAGTTACAGTTGGGATAATCTATAGAAAACCTAATACAAATGTTAAGGAATTTCAAGAAGATCTGTTGAGTTTGTTAGAAGAAATTAGAGTAAATAAACATAAATGTGTACTTTCGGGTGACTTCAATATTAATTCTTTGAGTAAATAAGACACAGTAGAAGAGTTTCTGAAATCATTACAATGCATGGGCTTGGATCATTTGATTCAATCAGAAACAAGGGTGACAAAGGAATCCGCTACTTTACTATAGATCATATATATTAAAATATCAATATATCTGAAATTCATTCAGGTATGATACAATCTAATGTGTCCGATCATTTCACAGTTTTTATAATCTCCAAGAACATAGCAAGAACTTCCACAGTTAAGGACGGCGAGGCAAATATTTCTTTCTTAGACTTACACATTTTGTATTTAATTTGGACATAAGGAAAAGGAAGAGACTGGATTTCCAACAACTGTGTAGATGTGACTGTACTCGGGAAGGGAGGGGGGATTTGTAGAGTTTGGAAAGCTTTGGGAATG